TTATTTGTAAAAGATAGTAATGCTTGTTAAGTACAGAAACCTGGTCCATGCTTTCAGTCAACCTGAATTTAACAGACTGGTAAATCAGGGAATTTTGTGTACTTTCATAAAATCTTAAACTGTTGTGTCAACTTCGCAAATAACAGGGCTTGATTTCCAGCATGTTTTTTTAATTCATTCACGGGATGAGGGGCTTCGCTGGCAGTTTCCTTCCCTGAAGGGCATTAGTGAACCAGATGGGTTTTTCTGACAATCAACAATGCAGTAACCAAGGCCCAAAGATTAAAAGGTAAATAAGACAGTAACTGGGATTTTACTGCCCACAGTAAAATGACAAAAGATCAGTGGGAAGTGTAAGAGTGCCTTCATTTGATGCCCTGCCCATCAATATCATCGTCTTGAGTCCTAAACAGCAGAGCTAGGGTGTGCCTCTTGAACGAGAAAGCTGACACCTTTGTTCTCCTTTTCCATGCCCTGGCTGCAATACACTCACAGATGAAGTCTTACTGTGTTTTCCCACTTCTACGCTTTATCAAGATTAACTTGTTATGCCTCACATAGTGGGGAGGTGATGGCCTCGTGGTATTATTGCTGGACTATTAATCTAGAGACGCAGATAACGTTCTGGGGACCCAGGTTTGACTCCCACCATGGGAGATGGTGGAATTTGAATTCAATAAATATCCAGAATTAATCATCTAATGATGACTGTGAATCCATTATCTTTTTTATCATAAAAACCCATCTGCTTCACTAATGTCCTTTAGGGAAGGAAACTGCCATTCTTACCTGGTCTGGCCTACATTTGACTCCAGACCCACAGCAATGTGGTTGACTCTTACGTGCCCTCTCAGCAATTAGGGATAGGCAATAAATGCTGCCTAGCCCACGTCACCCTTATCCCATGAATGAATTAAAAAAAGCTTTATAATGACTTTATCAACATGCCTTGTGACTTCAAATGATTTGTGCATGGACCTTCAGATCCCTCTGCTCTTGCATTTTCTTTAGGATTGTACCTTTCAATCAATACTACCTCTTGCCAAAATTAATCATTTTGCACTTTGCTGCATTAAATTTCATTTACTAATTGTCCTCCCATTCTGTCAGTCTATGTCTTCTTGAAGTTTGCCATTTTCTTCTTGGAGTCATAGACAGAGTCATGAAGTCATACAGCACGGAAACAGACCCTTCAGTTCAACCAGTCCATGCTGATCATAATCACAAACTAAACTTGTCCCACCTGCCTGCACTGTTCACAATACTTCAAAGTTTTGTGTCATGCTCAAATTTTGAAAGTATGCTGTGAACACTCAAATCTATGTCATTGACATAGAAAAGTCCTAATACCAAATGCTGGGAATTTGCTATATACCTCCATCTAATCTGGACAAATAAATGATAAACACTTCAGCTTCCTGTCCTAAACCAATTTTGCATTTGTGTTGCTGCAGTCCTTTTTTTATCCCATGGCCTATTGTTTTGCTAACTTGCTTTTTGAAAGTCTGTGTACACCAAATCTACTGCATTACCTTCATCCTCCATCTCAAAAAAACGAAAGCAAATTAGTTAAACACAATTTGAGCTTAAAAGATGTGTGCTGATTTTCCTCAAATCAATCCACATTTATCTAAGTGACTATTGATTTTGTCTTTGATAATATTTTACAAAACCTGCACCTCCTCCAAGATTAAATGACAGGTTTCCAGTTGCTAGGCTTATCCTATACACTATTTTCAAATAATTGCTTACCATTTGCAATTTCCTCTGACATTAGCCTTGTATCAAAAAAGAATTTAAAAATGATTAGTGCTTCTCACAATTTCCAACCTTACTTTGTTAAAAATTCTTGGTTAGGTCTTATTTGGTCCTGGTGACTTATCAAATTTAAATACAGACAGCCTTTCTAATATCTCCTTGACCAATTTTTTGTTCATCCAATCTCTCAAGTATTCTCTCTTTCTCTATGACTTGGGCTGCATTTTAATTCTTGGTAAAATCAAAGTATTAATTGAATATATCAGCCATGCACCTACCTCAATGCATTTTAGAACTTTGGTCTCCCCCATTACTCCTTTCATTCATTTTCTATTTCTATACTTAGAAGATTTTTGTGTTCCCTTTTATGTCAATAGCTAGTCTATTCTCATACTTCATTTGCTTCTCATTTCTTTAACTTCCCTTCCGAATCTTTGGATCCCATAGGAGGCAGATTCCACAGACGCTTCATAAAAGAGTTGGATGCTACTTTGAAAGTGATGAATTGAGAGGGCTACTGACATAGACCTGGATAATGGAACTAGCTGGGTAGCTCTTTCAGGAGCCAGTACAGACATAATGGCCTCCTTCTTTACTGTAAAATTCTATGATTCTTTATTCAGCCTGTTCATTTTCACTTGCATTATTTATCTAACAGCTATTATTTGCATTTTTTTTTCTATTTTAACTTACTTGTCATCTCTTTTGTCATCAATGAAGCTCTGGATAAGATTGTGTTTTTATCCCCCCATCCCCCTCTTATAGTTTATCTAAATTATCAGCTCTTTGAAGGCAATTGTTTTTGTTGGCATTGTTCATTTAGGGTTGCCTGCCAAACTTTGATTTTAATATACCTAGGCCAGATCTGTTCTTACATCTTTGAAGTTTTCCCTTTATCCTTACTTTGGATTGCTCCTTTTCCTTTTTCCCTAGTTAATCAACACCTTATGATGCTGTGATCATTGTCCCCTAAATGTTCTCCTATTGACAATTAATTTATTTGACACAATGTTGCTAATTAACCAGTAAGGGGTGGTGAGCTGATAGCAGTATTTGGACAAATTTTCCTTCTTTATTAAATAATAAATTTAATTTTTATGCACATTCTATTCTTGTCAAGATTTTCTTACTAATATTCCATACTAGTTCAAGAATGATTTGCTGCTTTCCTAAATGATTGAAGTAGAAAAACTTTCCTCCATATCTAGCAGCTTTAGCGGCTGCATAGCCACCTGCAAAGATAGAGATTTGACAAGTAATGACAGCGCAAAGTCCCATGGAAAGTGGGATCTATTATTAACTTTATACAAGCCAACAGGAGTCCCATTCCAGAAATATTCAATATGAATGCAATTATTCTATTTCAACTAACAAAGTACAGAAAACTTTAGGATCATATGAAAACATGGAATGAAACAAGACTACTTGCCTAGTAATGCTTATCTTGTGTAAAGAGCACGTGAAATTTAACTTACACGAGAATCTAACGATTCTAACATCTATTCAATGACGATGGCAATGGCTGACTGCATCTGACACAAAATGTAACACAAGGGCAAATATCTCACAAAATAGGTCCTACTGGACTTTAGAAGCACATAGAACTTTGCTAGACAAGGGATGTTTGAGTATCAATCGACTGGGCTACCGACTGACTTTTCCACTTCATTGGGTATTCCAGCAATCCTTCCCAACAAGTGTTAGTTAATTTCTGTTTCTAAATATTTGCATACAGGGACCGGTGTATTTGGGAGCAATGTTGGACTACAATGGCTGCTAACATTAGTACATCTTCCCTCTGGATTAAGCATGCCAAAGGTACCTCCAGGACATCATTATTGACCTGTATTTTGAACCGCAAAACTGCCGAGGCACAGTACTGAGAGTGGTTACATTTACAATATAACCACAAAATTGTAAAAGCATCCTAAATTACATAATTGACAAATAACATTTTTCATTTATCTCATGTCAAAGAGTCATACGGTCATACAGCTTGGAAACAGACCCTTCAGTTCAACTAGTCCATGCCAACGATTTTCCCAAATTAAACTAGTCCCATCTGCCTGCATTTGGCCCATATCCCTCCAAACCTTTCCTATTCATATGCTTATCCAAATGTCTTTTAAAATGTTGTACCTGTACCCGGATCCACCACTTCCTCTGTCCATTCATTCCAGACACTAACCACTCTCTATAAAACTGTTGCTCTTCATGTCCTTTTAAATCTTTCTCCTCTCATCTTAAAAATATGCCTCCTGGTTTGAAATCCCCCACCTTAGGGAAAAGGCCTTCACTATTCACCTTATCTATGCCCCTCATGATTTTACAAATCACAGTAAGATCACCCTCCTACCTCCTACACTCCAGTGAAAAAAGTCCCAGCCTATCTGACCTCTCCTTATAACTCAAACCCTCCATTCCAAACAACATCATGGTAAGTCTTTTCTGAACCCTCTCCAGTTTAAAAATTTTCTTCCTTTAACAGCACAATCACACTGCACACAGTACTCCAGAAGGGGCCTCACCAATGTCCTGTACAACCTAAACATGACATCCCAGCTCCTATACTCAAAGGTATGCGCAATGAAGGCAAGTGTGCTAAATGCCTTCTTAACTACTATGTCTACCTGTGACGCAAATTTCAAAGAATTACGTACTTGAACCTCTAGGTCTCTGTTCTACAACACTACCCAGGGCCTTACCATTAATTATATAAGTACTGCACTTGTTTGTTTTATTAAAGAGCAATACCTTGCATTCATCCAAATTAAACTCCATCTTGGATAACTTTCTTCACTGTCCAATACCACCAATTTTGGTGTCATCTACAAACTTACTAGCCATGCCTCCTAAATTCTCATCCAAATCATTTATATAAATCAAAACAAAAGTACTGATCCCTGGGGAAACACTGCTGGTCACAGGTGTCCAATCCAGAAAACAACCCTCCACCATTACCCCCGTTTCCTACCGTAAGGCCAATTATGTATCCAATTGGCAAGATCACCCTGAATCCCACGTGATCTAACATTACTAATTAGTCTACCATGCACTAAACTATCATGACAAAAGGTACAAATGAGTAACAGCAGGGTTCAAACATAGAAACAGGAGAAATCACACTGCCCCACATGCCTGCTACACACTTTGATCATTAACTTATCAAGAATATTAATTCTGTATTTTATTTCATACAATATTACAGTGCCTTTACTATCAATAGAAACAGAAAAAGTTACCTGCATATTTAGCAGCTTTGGCTGCTGCATATCCACCTGCAATGACAGGAATGACAATTTATGACAAAGCAGTAACCGGCTAAAAAGCAGAACAATGGAGATTATTATGAAGACCAAGCTCCACTTTATTCATGATAAACATGAAGTATTCTGAAATAGTCTCAAGTATTCAATACTACCAAACAAAAATTGTTCAAATACAATTTGAAAATTATATTACAAATGCAAAATACTATGGTTCAATGCTCATAATATAAAGTTGTGGCAGACCCTCAGAAGTCCCCACATTACCGCGAAAATTAATTCACCAGTGAATGTAAAGTTACCCCATGAATAGAATGGGAAGAAACAATGAGTTGCTCCTCCAATAATAGTCCAGTTTTCTCTATGTTTTCTGTAAACAGATTCACCATCTTCTGCTGTTGTGGAGCACCTTTTGCTAGGAGCCAGTAATTGAAGTCCAGAGGCAAGAGCTATCAGTAGATGAGCAAGGTCTGGCACCTGGTGTGGGGCTGAGAGCTACCCCTGGCTCGGATGTAATGCCTCTTGCTGAGGTCAAAAAGGCCTTGTGTTTGATGCAGGGCTTTTGTCTGCTGGAGTCTGGGTGGGTGTGTCAGCTAGAGGTGGACAGAATTGGGAGTGAAGGAGTCATCAGTGGCGGGAGGGGTGGAAAGGGGCTTGAAGACGGGAATGGTCTGCAGGAAAGGGGAGAAGGAGGCTGCAAGAGGGGTTTGTAGGAAAAGGAGACTGCAAGTGAAACAGCACAGTTTTAAACCTCTCAACAAAGGAAGACTCAGCTAACTGGGATCAAAATAAACTTTAAATCACCAAGGTAATGAATTCCTTGCAAACGAATGTGGATTTTTTTAATATATTCATTCGGGTCATGTGGACCTTGTTGGCTGGGCAAACATTTATTGCCATCTTTATTTACCCTGGAGTAGGTGATGGTCATGAGTGACTTCTTGAACTGCTGCAGTCTATTTGTTGTAGGAACACCCATATGGCAGGAGTGTCAGAATTCTGAACCAACCACTTGCAGATTAGGGTGCATCTGTTGTCTTTGACTTTCTAGATGGTAGCAGTTGTGTGTCCAGAAGATGTTGGTGAATATCTGTAGAGCATCTTGTGGATGGTACACACTATTACTACTGTGATTTGGTGGTAAAGGGAATGACTTTTCGCATGTGTGATGCCAATCAAGCATGCTTCTTTGTCTTGGATGCTGCCAAGCTTCTTGAGTGTTGTTGGAGCTACATTTATCCAGGCAAGTAGGTCACTGAAGGTAAGCATGCAGATGCAGCAGGCAGTAAAGAAGGCAAATGATATGTTCGCCTTAATTGTGAAAGTTTTTGAGTACAGGAGCAGGGATGTGTTGTTGCAGTTATACAGGGCCTTGGTGAGGCTACACCTATAACATAGTACACAGCAAACACCAGCGCTGCCGTTGCCACCGACACTGAAGTCGCGACCACCCTCACCGCTACTGCCGCCGCCTACCCCGCTCCTCCTACCTCCGACGCCGGTCCGCCCATCGCCGACGCGGACGCAACTCCACCCACCGCCGGCGCAACTCCGCCCACCGCCGACGCCGGCACAACTCCGCCCACCGCCGACGCAACTCCGCCCACAGCCGACGCAACTCCGCCCACAGCCGACGCAACTCCGCCCACAGCCTCCACAGCCAGCAGCTCCAGAGGAGACAGCAGCACCCAGCCCTGCCGAGTCTTCACCATCCCCCCAGACCGACCCCTTACTGAGGAGGAACGGTCAGTCCTCAGTAAAGGGCTCACCTTTGTCCCCCTCCACCCACAGATCAACGAATACCGCTCACGCTTGGACATAGAGCAGTTTTTCCGCCGCCTCTGCCTCCACGCTTACTTCTTTAACCGTGAACCTAACCCTCCCTCTACTGACCCCTTCTCCCGCTTCCAACACACCCCCTCCTCCTGGACACCACCCCAAGGCCTCCTACCCTCCCTCGACCTCTTCATCTCCAACTGCCGTCGAGACATCAATCGCCTCAACCTCTCCACCCCTCTCACCCACTCCAACCTCTCCCCTGCAGAACGTGCAGCCCTCCGCTCCAATCCCAACTTCACCATAAAACCCGCGGACAAGGGAGGCGCAGTTGTAGTATGGCGCACTGACCTCTACATCGCCAAGGCCGGATGCCAACTCTCCGACACCTCCTCCTACCGCCCCCTTGATCATGACCCCACCCCTGAGCACCAAACCATCATCTCGCAAACCATCCACAACCTCATCACCTCAGGTGACCTCCCACCCACGGCCTCCAACCTCATCGTTCCCCAACCTCGCACTGCCCGCTTCTATCTCCTTCCCAAAATCCACAAACCTGAATGCCCTGGTCGACCCATTGTCTCCGCCTGCTCCTGCCCCACCGAACTGATCTCCAACTATCTAGACTCCATTTTCTCCCCCTTGGTCCAGGAACTCCCTACCTATGTCCGTGACACCACCCACGCCCTCCACCTCCTCCAGAACTTCCAATTCCCCGGTCCCCAACACCTCATCTTTACCATGGACGTCCAGTCCCTCTACACCTGCATTCCCCATGCAGATGGCCTTAAGGCCCTCCGCTTCTTCCTGTCCCGCAGGCCCGACCAGTCCCCTTCCACTGATACCCTCATCCGCTTAGCCGAACTCGTCCTCACACTCAACAACTTCTCTTTCAATTCCTCCCACTTCCTACAGACAAAGGGGGTAGCCATGGGTACCCGCATGGGCCCAAGCTACGCCTGCCTCTTTGTAGGTTACGTGGAACAATCCCTCTTCCGTACCTACACCGGCCCTAAACCCCACCTCTTCCTCCGTTACATTGATGACTGTATCGGCGCCGCCTCGTGCTCCCACGAGGAGCTCGAACAGTTCATACACTTCACTAACACCTTCCACCCCAACCTTAAGTTTACCTGGACCATCTCTAACACCTCTCTCCCCTTCCTGGACCTCTCTGTCTCCATATCGGGCAACCACCTAGAAACCGATATTCATTTCAAGCCCACCGACTCCCACAGCTACCTAGAATACTCCTCCTCCCACCCACCTTCCTGCAAAAATGCTATCCCCTATTCCCAATTCCTTCGCCTCCGCTGCATCTGCTCCCAGGATGAGGCATTCCACTTCCGTACATCTCAGTTATCCTCGTTTTTCAAGGACCGTAACTTCCCCTCCTCGGTGGTCGAGAACGCCCTCAACCGTGTCTCCCACATCTCCCGCACCTCATCCCTCACACCCCGTCCACGCAATAAGAACCAAAAAAGAATCCCCCTCGTCCTCACGTACCACCCCACCAACCTCCGGATCCAACGCATCATCCTCCGACACTTCCGCCATCTGCAATCCGACCCCACCACCAAAGACATCTTTCCCTCCCCACCCTTATCTGCTTTCCGGAGGGACAACTCTCTCCGTGACTCCCTTGTCCGCTCCACACTCCCCTCCAGCTCCACCACACCCGGCACTTTTCCCTGCAACCGCAGGAAGTGCTACACCTGCCCCCATACCTCCTCCCTCACCCCCATCCCAGGCCCCAAGAAGACTTTCCACATCAAGCAGATGTTCACCTGCACATCTGCCAATGTGGTATACTGCATCCGCTGTACCCGGTGTGACTTCCTCTACATCGGGGAAACCAAGCGGAGACTCGGGGACCGCTTTGCAGAACACCTACGCTCGGTTTGCAACAAACAACTGCACCTCCCAGTCGCGAACCATTTCAACTCCCCCTCCCAATCCTCAGATGACATGTCCATCCTGGGCCTCCTGCAGTGCCACAACGATGCCACCCGAAGGTTGCAGGAACAGCAACTCATATTCCGCTTGGGAACCCTGCAGCCCAATGGTATCAATGTGGATTTCACAAGTTTCAAAATCTCCCCTCCCCCTACCGCATCCCAAAACCAGTCCAGCTCGTCCCTGCCTCCCTAACCTGTTCTTCCTCCCACCTATCCCCTCCTCCCACCTCAAGCCGCACCTCCATCTCCTACCGACCAACCTCATCCCGCCCCCTTGACCTGTCCGTCCTCCCTCGACTGACCTATCCCCTTCCTAACTCCCTACCTACACTCACCTTTACTGGCTCCATCCCCGCCTCTTCGACCTGTTTGTTTCCTCTCCACCTATCCTCTCCTCTATCCCTCTTCTATCCGCCTCCCACTCTCTCCCTATTTATTTCAAAACCCCCTTCCCCTCCCCCTTTTCTGATGAAGGGTCTAGGCCCGAAACGTCGGCCTCTCTGCTCCTATGATGCTGCTTGGCCTGCTGTGTTCATCCAGCCCTGCACCTTGTTGTCACCTATAACATAGTGTGCAGTTTTGGTCTCATTTTCTGAGGAGGAATGCTCTTGCTCTCGAAGGAGTGCAATGAAGGTTTACCAGGCTGATTCAAGGGATGGCGAATCCGACGCATGAGGAGAGATTGACTAGATTGGAATTGTTTTCTCTTGAGTTCAGATGAATGAGGGAGTATCTCACAGAGACTTATAAAATTCTAACAGGATTGGACAGAGTAGATGCAGGGAGGATATTCCCGATGGTGGGTGTGTCCAGAACCAGGGGTCACAGTATGAGGATTTGGGGTAGACGATTTAGGACGGAGATGAGGAAACAGCTCTTCACCCAAAGAGTGGTGAGCCTGTCGAATTAATTACCAGAGGAAGTAGTTGATGCCAAAACATTAAATGTATTCAAGAGGTGACGAGATATAGCACTTGGGGCGAATGGGAATCAAAGGTTATGGGGAGAAACCAGGATTAAGCTATTGACTTGGATGATCAGCCATGATCATGAAGAATGGCAGAACAGGCCTGAAGGGCCGAATGGCCTCTTCCTGCTCCTATCTTCCATGTTTCTATGTAATATTCCATCACACTCCTTACTTGTAGATGGTGGACAGGCTTTGGGACCTAGAAGGGGAATTACTCTCTGCAGGATTCCTAGGTTCTGATCTGCTCTTCTATCCACAGCATTTATGTAGCCACAGCATTTATATAGCTAGTCTAATTCAATTTCTGGTCCATGTAACCCCCTGCAATGGTAATTTCAATGAATATTGTGGGCAATGTTTGGATTCTCTCTTGCTGGAGATGGTCATTGCCTGGTACCTCAGTGGCACAAGTGTACGTCCAGTACATGCTGCATTTGTACATGGACAGTTTCTCATCTAGTTTAGGGCTGAACAAGTTCTGAAGCTACTATATTTGAAAAAAAAAGTAATGGATTTGACCATTTCGATCACTGTCAATTGTTAAACTTAGTCAGAAGTTGACAGTCTCCTCACTGCCTGGTTAAAATGTTTCAGCCTTGTACTTGTGCAATGGAAAAACAACAACTGTTATCTCACCAGTCTGTGGAAGATAGCTTATGGTGATAGATTTTCATGTGTCGAAGTGTGCCCTTTATTGAAAAATAACTTTTGTTAGCTTAAGCCTGTTATTTTGTACTAATTTAAATACTCTCTTATCTGGGAAATTAATGTTTTGCTTGGGTGCTGTGGCTCTAAGTTTCATGGAGAATTAATCATTATTAAAGATATTGATGAATTATTGCAACTGTCATGCAAATCCAAATACCCCATATGATAACAAAAATAAAGTATTGCTACTGTTTGACGTTATCTTCTAATGAGTTCGAGAAAATGAAAAGGTCTCTCCCAAAAACCAAATTTAGGTCTTGGGAAAATCTCGAGATAGCTTGAAAGATTATTTTGGCACCTGCTGTAGATGCCAGAATCCTGTATTTAAAAAAAAAGTCCTTCATTTCCAAAGCTGTTAAGCATTTCCTGCATTGTTGTTATGTTTAAGATTGGACCTGGGAAGGCAATGGCATAGAGCTATTGTCACTGGATTAATAACACTGAAACCCAGACTAACGTTCTGGGTACATGAGCTAAAATCTCACCATGGCAGATGGTGAAATTTGAATTCACTTAAATAAATCTACTACATCTAATGGCAGTCATTACCACTTGTCGTACAAACCCATCTGATTCACCAAACTTTAGAGAAGATCGGCTTTTCTTATCTGTATCGTTTACATGTATGACTTAAAGCCCACAGCAATGTAGTTGACTTTTAAATTGCCTAATAAGTCACTCATCAGTTATATAAAACTGTCATAAAGTCTGAAGAAAGGAATCAAACAGGGCAGACTGCTTGACATTAAACCAAGCATCGGAAATTACAAGAGTAAACCCAGTCTTGTCAACCCTGCAAAGTTCTCCGTACTTATATCTGGGGTCTTTTGCCAAAATTAGAAGAGCTGTGCCACAACAAGTTAAGCAGTAGCCTAAAACAGTTATACTCAAACAATCCTATATTACAGAATGACACGAGACACAGCAATCACCATTCTTGGGATCACCATCACCACAGGGGGCAGCAAAGTAGTATACAGTTTGGAGGGAATCACCTGCAGAGTCCTCAACATTGACTCTTAAACCCCATGAAGTCTTAAGGCATCAGGTCAAATAATCAGCAAGGAAATTTCTTGTAAATTATGAACACTAATTAGAAGATGAGCAGAGGGTAGCAACGGCACAACGGACTTTTGGTGGGGGACTGCATAGCCATCACAAAGAGTGGTTCAGTAGTACCACTATTGACTGCGCTGGTGTAGTCCTAAAGGAATGCACTGTTTGACAGGGCCTGCAGCAGATGATGAGGGAACCAACATGAGGGAGAAATGATCTTGACATCAGCCTCACCAATCTACCTGTTGTAGACACATTTATCTGAGACAGTATTGGACGGTCCAAGTGGATACGAAGTCCGAGCTGCAAATTGGGGATATGCTCCAATGTATTGTGCAGCACGACCATCATCCTCAACCCTCCTGACAAACCCGAATGTCCTGACACTCTGCCAACTCCCCTCAATCTGAGCCGAGTATCCCTCACCATCCGAATACTTTCCCTGACCCTCCAACTCAGCCAAATCAGACCTGACTAATGCTCCTACCACTCAACTATTACTCTGACCACACCTCCTAGAATCTCCAACTTCCCTGATCTCCTGAATACTCCTGACTGGACTCAGCTGTTGCCCCACCACAACTACTCCACGAATCCCACCACCCTGTCTCTGCCCCACAAACCAATATATCTAGTCCCTGCTCCAACAACTGTACTGACTTTTGCTGAATGAGGTTGTTGACTTGCTCGCTGAGTTGGCTTGTTCTCGTTCAGATGTTTCGACACCATGCCAGGTGACATCATTACTGGACCCTCCGATGAAGCGATGTTATTCTACTCCGCTTGGATCTTATACTGTCTGGTCAGTTGTGGTGAGTAGTGTCATTTCCGATTTTGTTCTGTATGGGTTTGTATATGGGGTCCATATCTATATGTTTGTTGATTGCATTATGGGTAGAGAACCATGCCTCTAGGAATTTCTGTGCATGTCTATGTTTGGCTTGGGCTACTATGGTTACCTTGTCCCAGTTAAACGGATGGCCTTCATTGTTTGAGTGTGCCGATATTAAGGAGAGTTCGTTGTGCCGTTTTGCTGCCAGTTGATGTTCTTAGGGAATTTCTAGAGGCATGGTTCTCCACCCATAATGCAATCAATGAACATATAGAATTGGACACCATGTACAAACCCATACAGATCAAAACCGGAAATGACACCACTCACCATAGTGGACCAGACAGTATAAATTACAAGCGGAGTAGAATAACATCGCTTCATCAGAGGCTTCACTGATGACTCACCTAGCACGGTGACGAAACGTCTGAGAACAAGCCAGCTCGGCGAGCAAGTCAGCAACCTCAACCATAACCTGAGCTACAGATCTTTGCCAAAACTTTAAACACTTAACTGAAGTCCATATAAACGCCTACCACTCTTCAATCTTCTTTGTCACCTCTTCAAAAACTCAATTGAGTTAACGAGACATGAGTTCCCATGCAGAAAGCCATGTTGACTATCCCTAATCAGTTCCTGCCTTTCCGAATGCATGTAAATCCTGTCCCTCAGAATCCCCTCAACAACTTACCCACCACCGACATAAGGCTCACTAGTTTATAGTTCCCTGGCTTTTCCTTACAGGCTTTCTTAAATAATGGTACCGTATTAGCCAACCTTCAGTCTTTTCGGCACGCCACCGATGGCTATTGATTATACAAATATCTCAGCAATGGACACAGCAATCTCTTCCCTCGCTTCCCACAAGGTTCTGGGAAATACTTGATCAGCTCCCATTCCAAACAAAATGTATATATTGCAATATACTGCATACAAAATTCAACCAACCCTCGTAGATTCGATTGTTGGTTATCATTTATATCTTTACATGTCCTAGTGCTCCTTAAAAGTGCTGTGGCTACAACATGACTACCAAAACATTTTTGATTTTATAAGGGACAAAGCTGCAGGTGGTCTTCAAGGTCTAGCATTGCTTGAATTCTGGAAGTTGAGAACTGGGAACATTATCCACAAAATCAGAGCCGGACTTTTTATCACTGCTTTCATTAATATATCCATATAATTTGTGATAATATCTAGAAATGCAATTTTTGACAAGATCTATATATTGACTTTATATATTTCAAATTTATGGAATTAATTAGAGCTTTTGTCCGACAGGTATTCATGTTAGGAAACTGCAAATACATTTCACATTTACTAGACTTCTCCATTGATGTCAGTGCCAATATGCTAAATAATCTTTGTGATAACAGTGTATTTGCTTCAATAAATTATTATTTCTACTGGTGTTCAATTTTCCTCAAAATATTGTCATATAGTACCACAGGCACACACAGAAATTCTGTGAATAGATTGCCATCATTAGAAAATTAAAAGATGCTGTGATAATATCAGCATTGTGTTACAGCACCAAGACTAATGGAATTGTGCTATTAAAATCTTTACAACATTGTAAAACCAAATTCAAGGAAAGAACCTACCAGCACTGTATGGAATTCCATAGCCACCTGCAATGTAAATAATAACATTAGTAATATAATTCAACAATAAAATATAGTTTGTATTAAACTACATCTAGTGCAGAGTCTGAAAATCAATTATTGACGTAGTAAAAATGAAAGCATGGTCATCATATAGTATAACATAACATTGTGTGATGGAAGAAGATGGAAGAAATTGGAACATACCTATTGCTATTCCCTCAATTATCATCTTCTGTAAACAACCACACAAAGCACCAAATATTGGTAAACATTATGAAACAGTTCTGACGGATTTGAACATGGATCTCCTGACCCAGAGGTAGAGACATTGCCATTATGCCACAAGATCCAAAATTATTTTTAATCAATCTGTTATGACACATTTCTGGGGTGTGTGGGAATTGAACTGTCTGACCTAGACATCTGTGCACAAGACTCTCATTTTTAAAAAATTCCACCAGGTGCAGTGAGAGTGGAACCAATGTTCCCAGAGCTTTAGCCCTGGCTGCCGAATTACTAATCCAGTGTCATTACCATTATGCCACCATCTCCCTAAACAGCTCTAGACATTTTATAATCAACCTGTTCAGAGATGTTATAACACAACTGTGGAGCAGTTGGAGATAGTAAGAACTGTCGATGCTGGAGTCTGAGATAACAAGGTGTTGAGCTGGAGGAACACAGCAGGCCAGGCAGCATCAGAGGAGCAGGAAAGCTGATGTTTCGGGATTGGACCCTTCTTCAGAAATGGGGGAGGGGAAGGGGGTTCTGAAATAAATTGGGGGGGGACAGTGATAGCAAGTAGATAGTGGAGTGGATAGGTGGGAGAGAAGACGGACAGGTCAAGGAGGCAGGGATGAAATTAGCAAAGGTGAGTGTAGGTAGGAAGTGGGGATGGGGATTGGTCAGTGAGGTGGGAGGAGTGGACAGGTGGGAGAGAAGACGGACAGGTCAAGGAGGCGGGGATGAGAGGGGGTGCTGGTCTTGGGATGAGGAGATTTTGAAGCAAGTAAAGTTCACATTGAGACCATTGGGTTGTAGGCTTCTTTCCGGAGGGAGGAGGATAACTTCTTCAAGGTAGGCAAATTCCTCTGCCTCCGCCGCATCTGTTCCCAAGATGAGGCATTCCACTCCCGGACATCCCAGATGTCCTCGTTTTTCAAGGACCACAATTTCCCCCCCTTCAGTGGTCGAAAACGCCCTCGACCGCATCTTGTGGTCCCCGCACCTCAGCCCTCACACCCCCTCCTCGCAATAAAAACAAAGACAGAATCCCCCTTGTCCTCACATATCACCCCATTATCCTCTAGATTCAATGCATCATTCTCCGCCACTTCCGCCACCTGCAATCTGACCCCACTACGAAGAATATATTTCCCTCCCCACCCTTATCTGCCTTCCAGAGGGGACTGCTCTCTCCACGACTCCCTCGTCCACTCCACGCTCCCCATTAGCCCCACCACTCCCGGCACCTTTCCCTGCAACCACAGGAGGTGCTACACCTGCCTCTACACCTCACCTCCATCCCAGGCCCCAAAAAAACCTTCCACGTTAAACAGATATTCACCTGCACATCCGTTAATGTGGTCTATTGTATCCGCTGTTCCCGAAGTGGCCTCCTCTACATTGGTGAGACCAAGCGGAGGCTTGGAGACCGCTTTGTGGAGCACCTACGCTCGGTTCGCCACAAAATAACAATACCTCCCAGTCGCGAACCACTTCAACTCCCCCTCCCACTCCCTGGACGACATGTCCATCCTGGGCTTCCTTCAGTGTCACAACGATGCCACCTGGAAACTGGAGGAACAGCACCTCATATTCCGCCTTGGAACTCTACAACCCAATGGTCTCAATGTGGAGTTTACTAGCTTCAAAATCTCCCCACCCCCAAACTCATCCCAAGACCAGCCGCCCTCTAATCCCTGCCTCCTTCACCTGTCCGTCTTCTCTCCCACCTATCCACCCCTCCCTCCTCACTGAACAATCCCCATCCCCACTTCCTACCTACACTCACATCTACTGGCTTCATCTCCGCCTCCTTGACCTGTCTGACTTCTCTCTTACCTATCCGCTCCACTAGCTACCTGCTATCACCGCCCCCCCCGTCTCTATTTATTTCAGAGCCCCCTTCGCCTCCCCCATTTCTGAAGAAGGGTCCCGACCTGAAACGTCAGCTTTCCTGCTCCTCTGATGCTGCCTGGCCTGCTGTGTTCCTCCAGCTCCATACCTTGTTATCCCTGGAGCAGTTGGGACTTGAGTTCAGGTCTCCTAGCTCAGAGATAAAGACATTAGCAATGCACTACAAAAGGCCCTCCAAACACTTCTAGAATCATACTAACAGACATATGAAATTAAGTAGCAACTAGTTCATAGGTTAATGATCTATTTAAAATACACAGGTAGGCAGTCCTTCCTGCTGCTTAATAAGTGTAAGGTTAAGATACAGTGTGGGCTGGACTATTAAGTTCCAAATCAGTGCTGCATGCTGATTGATGTCAATGTCCTGCATAATTCTGGCTGTACATGCTGTAGTGCCTCCACTACTACACATTGTGATTCACCCTCATAATATGCACGTGTGCTGTGAATGCCATTTCAGAGCACTTGCAGTATTCAGAGTCCCCAAAAGAGTAAATACCAACATGCCCAATTTCTCATCTCTCAATTCCAAATAAAGGAAACGTGTTACTCTGCTGAAATCTAGCCGGTCATTCTTCGACTCTGCTATAACCCCTCACTTTTTCTCCGCATAATCATTTGTATTATTAAATATGATTTTAAAAAACTGTATATACCTGGTAGTTTAGGAGACAGCACAGGATAACCAACAGGTACTCCTACTCCAAAGCCACCATAACCTATCAGAATAAAGAAGACAATTAAAGTAATGAAATCAATTTTAATGTACAGTTAAATGTACGCAAGCTAAGGGTGTGATGAGATTCATCTTCTGATCTTGTAGCAAGAACAAGTAGGTATATATCTGAAAGGAGGCTGAGATTCCTTTCTTTATTCAGGGGAAAGCTGAATGGTGACAACAGTTTAAAATTTGTTCAGGCAGTTGTAAAGTTGATATTTCCTTCTGTGCAGGAGTCCAAAAACTTGACTACGTTAATAAAACAGCAATTCATACATCCCATGAGGAATTCAGGAAACAAAACTTTCTTACACAGAACAATTAGAATGTGGATCTTGCTATAATATGGAGTAGTTGAGGAAAGTAATATAGATGTATTTGAGACATAGTTAATGAGTACACAAAAAGAGAAAGCATTGTAAGTATGCATTGCTAGGATTAGATTCAGTCTGTAGGAGCAAGTTCATGTGCAGCACAACTTCTAATGTAGGCCAACTGAATTGAGTGGACTGTTTCTGTGCACGTGTTTCTGTGTCGTTTTATGCAAATCATGAGGCTTATTTCTAGTTATTAAGCAACTTGCAGCCAGGGGCAATTGAATTACAATATGTACAAACATATTGCTGAGGTCATTCAAACTTACTAACAAAGTAAGGAAAATTAATGAATTGCCTTTTACAAAGGAAGTGACTAGCTTGTGAAGAAAGTGAAAAATGTTTTACAACATTGAATAAAGGAGCAAGAGTAATTCAAATGGCCCCTCATCCTACTCTGCAGTTCAATTTGATCATTGCTAACACCCTATCCAGGACCTTCAAAATCTTCGATGTTTCACAAAGACCATCTCTTATTCTTCTAAACTTCAGAAAAGGTAAGCTCCAATTTATTCAATCTCTCATTAAAAGACTACCCATTCATACAAGAAATCAATCTAATGCTCCCTTGCTGTATCACTTCCAAGACAAGTATGTCCTTCTTCAGATATGGAGATGAAAACTGCACACCGGTGTGATCTCACCAAAGTTCTACACAATTTTGGCAAGGCTTCTTTGTTCCATTTTTTTTGACATCTACAGCATAGAAAAAGGCACTTCAGCCCATCATGTCTGTGCTAGTCAAAAGCAAAAACATAACTAGTTTAGTCCCATTATCCAGCACTTGGCCCTTAGATTTATATGCCTTGACATCACAAGTAAATATCAAAATACTTTTCAAAGGTTATGAGGGCTTCTGCCTCTAATACCCTCACAGGCAGTGAGTTCCAGATTCCAAACACCGTCTGGGTGAAAAAAATGTTTCCTCACATCTCCCCTAACTAAACCTTCTGCTCCATACCTTATATTTATGCCCACAGTCATTGATCCCTCAATCAGAGGGAAATGCTTCTTCCTATCTACTCTATCTATAATCCTCATAATTTTACATATCTCAATCGCGTCCCCTCTCAATCTCCTCTGCTGTAAAGAAAACAACCGTGGTCTATTCAATCTCTCTTCAAAACTGAAACTCTCTAGCCATGGCAACATCTTGGTAAATCTTCTCTGCACCCTCTCCACTGACATTTCACCCCTCCTACAATGTGGATTCCAGAACTGCACACAATACTGTAGCTGTGGTCTAACCTACATTTCATATTGTCCCAGCATAACCTTCTTGCTCTCAAACTCTAGGCTTAACTAATAAAGGCAAATATCCCATATCTTAACCATTTTATCCACTTGTCCTGATACCTTAAACGACCGGTGGACATGATCCTCAGTGCTTCCCAGGGGCATACCATCCATTATGTAATCCCTAGCCTTGTCTGTCCTGCCCAAGTGCATTACCTCACATTTATCAAAATTGCATTCCTTTGCCACCGGTAAGCCTTTCTGACCAGCTTGACATCCTCCTGTAATCTAAAGCTATACACCTCCATATTTAGCACCCCATCAATTTTTGCATCATCTGCGAAATTACTGATCAACCCTCTGACATTCAAATCATTTGTGTAGACCATAAATAGCAAAGGCCCCAACACTGATGCCTGTGGGAGCCCATCGGACACAGGCTGCCAGTCAGAAAAACACCCCTCAACCACCATCCTTAGCTTCCTGCCAATTTGCCAATTGTGGATTCAATTTGCCAAATTTCCTTAAAACAAGGGCCAAATGTCATTGCCCTCCAAACTGCGTGCTAACTTTGTGTTTTTTTGTACAATAACAACCGTGTCTTTCTGAATAACAAAATGTCTTAGTTTCATATCTTTTCAAGATATTCTTTATTAAATTCTTAATACCTACATGAATAAACACACACTTTCCTACACCAAATGAATATCGTGCTACAGTACAAGAGAATTACAAATGTTGAACGCTTTTTTTGACTAAGATTTTAAGGATAAACACAATAACTACTGACCAAGCAGTTTAACATCAATAGTGGGAAACCTTGACCAATAACCTGACGTAAAATTAGCAGTCAGTTGGATAGGTATGGTTTAATTAGACTGAGTTTTTTTAATGAAGTAACAGATGGTTGATTATGTTACTCAATTGATGTAGTGTATAAGGATTTTCAAAAGTCATTTGATAAGGTTCTGCAGTATTTACAGTAATTTTATCCACTTGATTCTAATTCATACAGCAATGTATTTAACAGGTAATAGGATATATTCTGACTTGCTTAGGTTTACGGCCTATTTTTGGTTGTTTATTTCAGTTATACTACTTTACAAGTGTTAACATGAGACTGGGTATAGATTAAGATAATCTATCTTTACCTGCTGGGTATCCATACTGACCACCAACACCTGCAATAAAAACCAGAATGACAATTTACAAAATGCAATGGGAACTCATTCTAAATATTACTCAGTAAATATCTAGTGAAAGGACTCCACCAAACATATTGAAAACAATATGTTTACTGATCTCTATGCAATCTTTTTGAAGGTTCACACTGGTAAACTGATAATTGTTCCTAGTTTACAAAGATCATTCAGTTTCTCCAACAAGGACACACTTAGATACTTATTGGACATCTTGGGAAGTTAGGGATAACAAGGGCTGAATCTTAATATTTTGGCTATGTGTCAGTTTAGTTGAGTTTCATGAAGGGTTTCTCTCCTCGAGACCCAGGGAGATTTCTTGTCATATTGTCCCAAACATACCTCATCAACTACTCACCACACCCTGGGGTGTCTGTCTCACCTGATACCAACCGGATTCTACCATCTCACCATACCCAGAAGAACTTGCCACTACTCAGATATGCATTGGCAGACCAGCATCCCTGGAGCCTGTGCCATCCTTAAAAGGCTATTGCGTATCCCAAGAAGCACTGTTGGTCTGGAGCTGCTTGCACACTTTGTGATGTTGCCCCAGATATAACAGAAGAAATTCCTCCTTATCTCAGTCTTAAATAGGCACCCTTTTATTCTGAGACTATGGTCTTTGTCTGAGACTTTCCCATGAGGAGAAACATCCTCTCAGCATTTAGCCTGTCAAACTCCTTAAGAATCCTATGTTTCAATAAGATCGCCTCTCATTTTTCTGTATTCCAGTGGGTAAAGTTACAACTTGTTTATCATTTGCTCATAAGACAAATCCTCCATAACAGGAATCATCCCAGTGAACTTTCTCAGAAATGTCTCCAATGAAACAATATATTTCATTAAATAAGGGGACCAAAACTGCTCATAGCACTGGAGTTGCTGTAAGACTTCCCTACTCTTAAACTCCAATCCCCTTGGAACAGGGACCAATATTCCAATAGCATTCCTGATTACCTGCTGTACCTGTGTGCTAACTGTGTGTGTTTCAGGCACAAGTATTCTCAAGTCCCTAGTGTTGCAGCTTTCTGCAGTTTTTCCCCATTTAAATAATATTTTGCTCTTTTGGTCTCCCTTCCAAAATGAACAACTTCGCATTTTCCCAAATTATACTCCATTTGCCAATTTGCTTGCTTACTTATCTTAACAATATCTCTTTGTAAACTGTTTGTATCCCTCTTGTAACCTGACTTTCTACCTATTTTTGTGCTGCCTGTAAATGTGGCTATAGTACATTCACTTCCTTTCTCAAAGTCATTAAAATAGTTTTAATAGTAAATAGTTGCGGTCCCAGCACTGATCCCTGTGGAACCCTACTGGATATGGGTCACCAACCTGAAAAAAGAATCCCTTATCCCCACTCAGAGATAGAAAGAAATGCAGATGCTGGAGTCAGAGATAACACAGTGTGGAGCTGGTGGAACACAGCAGGCCAGGCAGCATCAGAGGAGCAGGTAAGTTGTTGTTTCGGGTCGGGTTGAAGGGTACCAACCCGAAACGTCAACTTTCCTGCTCTTCTGATACCGCCTGGCCTGCTGTGTTCCTCCAGCTCCACACTGTGTTATCCCTTATACCCGCTTGCTGTTTCCTGGCCATGAGCCAATTCTTGGGATCAGTCTTGTCCAGCAATAACATCAGCTGGGATCACTGTATGGAGGGAAACACTCATTGCCAGCTTTTTCATGCTAGAATGATGCATGAGCCAAGTCAGAAACAGCTACCAGTCCAATTCCCCTTTAGAAGGGGATCAACTTCCTTGTGTTAGAGAAATGACATTTTTACCCCAAGTGTTAAAAACAAAAGTACCTGGGAGGGCAATAACTGATAGTAATGATGTTAGATTTGAATGATATTAGAGTAACTTTAGTGATTAGGATAATCTGAGATAGTGGTGCCCATTGTATTGTGTAGGCAAATAACAAATAAAGTTTTTCTTCCAACCAAGAAGTCGTACAGTCATATAGCATGGAAACAGATCTTTCAGTCCAATTAGTCTGCATCGACTCAATCACAAAATAAACTAGTCCCACCTTCCTGCACTTGGCCCACATTTCTCCAAATATTTCTTATTCATGTACTTAACGAACTGTCTTTTAAATGGTGCAACTGTACCCACATCCACCACATCGTCTGGAAGTTCATTCCATACACAAACCAGTCTCTGCGCAAATAAAAATTGCCCTTCATATCTTTTTTAAATGTTTCTTCTCTCACCTTAAAAATATACCCCCTAGTCTTGAAATTCCCCAGCCATTCACTTTATCTATACCCCTCATTATTTTATAAACTTCTATAAGGTGACCTCTCAACCTCCTAGACTCCAGTGAAAAAGTCCCAGCCCATCCAGCCTCTCCTTATAACTCAAACCCTCCATTCCTGGCAACATCCTGGTAAATCACTTCTGAACCTTCTCCTTCCTGTAACAGGGAGACCAGAACTGAACACAGTACTCCAGAAGAGGTCTCACCAATGGCCTGTACAACATAAACATAAAAACATACAAAGTAGGTGGAGTAGGCCATTCGGTCCTTCAAGCCTGCATAACGATTCAATATGATCATGCAATCTCAGTATCCCATTCCTGCTTTCTCTCCATACTTCTTGATCCTTTTAACCACAAAGGCCACATCCAGCTCCCTCTTGAATATGTCTAATGAACTGGCACCAACAGCTTCCTGTGAAAAAGAATTCCACAGGTTCACAACCCTCTGAGGGAAGAAATTCTTCCTCATCTCAGTGCTGGAATGGCTTACCCCTTATTCTTAGACTGTGACCCCTTTTTCTGGAATTCCCCAACATTGAGAACATTCTTCCCGCATCTAGCCTATTGTCCCAACAGGATTTATATGTTTCTATGAGATATCCCCTCATTCTTCTACATTCCAGTGAGGACAAGCCCAGTCGATCCAGTCTTTGCTCACATGTCAGTCCTGCCATCCCAGGAATCAGTCTGGTGAACCTTCGCTGGATCTCCTCAATAGCAAGAATGTCCTTCCTCAGGCTAGGAGACCAAAACTGCACACAATACTCAAGGTCCTCACTAAGGCCCTGTATAACTGCAGCAAGACATCCTTACTCTGATACTCAAAAATCTTCTTGCTATGAAGGCCAGCATGCCATTAGCTTTCCTCACCACCTGCTGCACCGGCATGCCAACCTTTAGCAACTATTCCACCATAACACCCAGGTCTCGTTACACCTCAGCTTTTCCTAAATTGTCACCATTTAGATAATAATCTGCCTTCCTGTTTTTGCAACCAAAGTGGATAACCTCACATTTATCGACATTATATTGCATTTGCCAAGTATTTGCCCAGTCAGCCAGTCTGTCCAAGTCATCCTGCAGCCTCTTAGCATCCTCCTCAGAGGACACACTGCCACACAGCTTAGTGTCATCTGCAAATTCAGAGATACGGCTTTCAATGCCTTCATCCAAATTGTCAATGTATATTGTGGACAACTGAGGTCCTAGTACTGAACCCTGCGGCACTCCACTCGTCACTGCCTGCCACTCTGAAAAGGACCCATTTATGTCAACTTTCTGTTTCCTGTTTCTGCCAACCAGTTCTCTATCCATGTCAATACATTACCTCTGATACCATGACTTTTCATTTTCTTAACTAATCTCTTGTGTGGAACCTTGTCAAAAGCTTTTTGCAAGTCCAGATACACAACAGCTACTGATTCACCCTTCTCCACTCTAATGGTCACATTCTCAAAAAATTCCAGACGCTTTGTCAAGCATGATTTCCCTTTAGTGAATCCATGCTGACTAGGACCAATTTTGTCACCACTTTCCAAATGCTCAGTTATCACGTCCTTAATAATTGGCTCCAGCATTTTGCAGCACATAACATCCCAACTCATATACTCAAGGGTCTGATCAATGAAGGCAAGCATGCTAAATGCCTTCTTAACCATCCTATCTATATATGATGCAAATTTCAAAGAATTATGTACTTGAACTTTTAAGTCTCTCTGTTCTATAACACTATCCAAGGTCTTAGCATTAATTGTATAAGTCCTGCCCTTGATTGTTTTACCAAAATGCAATACCTCGCATTTATCCAAATTAAACTCCATCTGCCACTCTTCAGCCCATTGACCCAATTGACCAAGATCTCTCTGTATTCTTAGATAACCTTTTTTACTGTCCACTACATTAACCATGCCTCCGACATTCAAATCTAAATGATTTATATAAATGACAAACAGAAGTGGACCCAGTACTAATCCCTGTGGAACACCGCTGGTCACAGGCCTCCAGTCCAAAAAACAACCCTCCACCACCACCCCCTTGTCTCCTCCCATAAAGCCAATTTTGTACACAATTGGAAAGCTCACCCGGAATCCCATGTGATCTAATTTTACTAGTTAGTCTACCATGCAGAACCTTATCAAAGGCTTTACTAAAGTCCAAGTAAAAAACATCTACCGCTCTGCCCTCATCAATTTTGTGGGTTACCTCCTCAAAAAACTCGGAATCAAGTTTGAGAGACATGATTTTCCTCACACATTTTCAATTCTTAACTAGAACCTCAATATCTTCCTCCATCTGTTGTTTTCTAATCCTACCAACCTTACCTTTCATTCTAACAGGAACATAATGACTCCGAATTTTCGTTATCACACTTTTGAAAGCCTCCCACTTATCGGACGTCCCTTTACCTGTAAACAATCTATTACAATCATTTTTTGAAAGTTCTTGCTTCATACCATTAAAATTTGCCTTACTCAATTAAAAACTTTAATTTTTATGGAGGGTTTATCCTTTTCCATAACTATTTTAAAACAAATAGAATTATGATCACTAAACCCAAAGTGAAATAAGTAAAATAAGTAAAACCTCCAAGTAACACACATGGGTCTGACTTGTCATATAGACCTCAAGTATGACAGTATGTTCAAGTATTGCTGAAGATTTTCTTTAAACTGTTCTTTCCCCTTTGGAAAGCATCAAGATAATTTGAATCAGTGGGTAAATTCACTTAAGCAGCTTTGTTTCTAGCCATGCTGCACAGATTATTTTGATTCCCTAGGAAGTGGGAGTGAGGTGAGAGGGCAGTGTGGTTGCAGACAGTGCTGCAGACTGTTACCAATGAGAGATGTGTTGCTCTTCAATGATGATGACGTCAAATGTGCTGCAGCCCATGCAACAGCATTGCCTGCATAGTGTTGGCAGAAGAAGAAGCATTGTGAACAGATTTCTTCCCATAAGTGTTCATATTTAGCACTTAGATTAAGCTGTTTCAACTTCCATTAACTTATTTGACTTCCACAAGCTGCTGAAAATAATCACTGGAGTGAAACTTTTCCAGAAAGCTCACTCTACTTTGGTCCAGTGTCAGATTAGGCCACAACTCAGCAAACATTTACAGTACAATTAAAGGATTTATACGAAAACAATACTTCATACCAATATTTCAGGTATGGCCCACATGCACCTTTTAACATTTAACATAGTTCAAATGCTGACAGATATGTCTTTGTCTTTAAGTTGATTCCTATATCTTGTACAGGTACGCACCAATCAAATCTTAAAATATTCCAAAATATTACCAATAGAGGGAAAATGCAACATAAATGTCAAATCTTTCTTACCTGGTTTAGCTTTCAAACCAGTCCCAGTTGGTACACCAGGTAGTACACCCAGCCCGTGAGTTCTTGCACCTTGGAAAATAACACAAAACGCTTCAGAGAAATGCACTTTTTTGCTTTTAAAAAAATTAAGAAAAAAGAAACACATTGCACTTTGGCTTATGAAATTAACCATTTTGTACAAAAAACTATATTTAATACAATTTAATAAAGATTTTTTAAATACAATTTTAAACCTGACTGTGGGACATGAATGGAACAATGATGGCCCTAAAATCTGAATACTACAGTCAAAGTTAAAGTCCTATCTGATCCAACCTATTTTAAGCTGGGTCATTATAAAGGCATCCCAGGCAGGATCCTAATTAAATTGTGCAAATTCAGAGCTCAAGACACATGGGCTACCAATTGCAATTTCAAAGTACAATACAGCATGGTCGTCTATTTGTACTAGCAGTAAGCAGCCTAACTGGGGTTTCATCAAGAAACCAAGAAGAAAGGAAAACAGAACAAAGTGATAGGGTCATTTTAGTGCAAAAAGAGGTAATATAGTGTAATCTGGGAGGGGAATAACAACAAAAAAAATTAAAAAATAAAAAGTCATTATGATGCCAAGTGATGTTAATACTGGATAAATCAAATCGCAGAATTAAACTGGACTTGAACATTGAGTTTGATAGTTGCAATTTGGTTACCCTGGTGGTCAATCATTGACAATATTGTCAAGAAGCCTCCAAAGCACTTTTAACAAAAGAACGTCAGTAAGAAAATAAACTATAAGACAAATTGGAAGGACGTGATCATTAAGTAAAAATAAAGATTCAATCCTTTTTCCCATCAATATCTTTTACAGACAGCCAACCCCAGTGAAGTATCGCTCCTATCTTCACCGTTTAATTTCTTGCTCGACTGGTTAGATTACAAGTGTTTCCTTTTGGCAAATTCGTGCAAATTCACCAGATGTGATTCTCTTCATTATTGTGTCAACGTGAATAACCACAGACACAAGCAAAATCACTGAACTCTGAAAAACACTCAGGGAATCGCCTAGTCCTGTCTAAAATGGACTGCTGAAACAGCTGAAGACTTCTTTTTAGTTCGGATGTGCTGAAGACTGCCAAAACTAAACTACCCTTCAGAAGGTGTGGATCTTTACCCCGTAAATTAGAACTGCTGATGCCCTCTGGCTTCTCTTTTTCTGGGATATAAAAGCTCGACTTAGTTGAAATAACTGCACAGAGACTGGTATCTCATCACCAAGTCACCCTTTATTTACTTGTGCACAGTACGTTGGCTGTGGCCAGCCAGCTCACTCAGAGTCAGTCCCTGAACTGAGAAGATTCTAAATCCTCTGTTTGTTTTGGTTGGCAAGGGCTTCATGATTGGGGTTGTTAACCTGAGCCAATCAAGGACCTTGTAGTCAACAAGGTCCACCAGATTCCAAATCACTACATCCCTCCTCCCATAATTCCAGGGATGTAGGCCTGGTCTTTCTCAGTTTTTTCTGCGACGTTTTTGCCCGAGGTCCTTTCATTTGATTTGGACTCTGACACAGGGGTCATATGCCGTACCATAATCCATCTCTTGCACGTGGAACATCTCGGGAGGATTTCTTCCTCTTCTTCTGGTGACAAAGTATTGAGGCTGCATACATCTTGAACAACAAAGTTCCTTGACACTAGACAGAAGGGGAGACCCTACGGTTTCTGACAGGCCTTTAGGTTGTTCTGAGGGACCAGATGTTTTGCTCCTTCCCTGTTTGTAAGGTAACAGTTTTCAGGTGATCCACATGTTTGCTCAGGACTGCTTCACTTACATGAACTTAGTAAGTCACAGGACCTCACTTCCCATCACCTCATCTTATACCCATACTGGGCTATTTCCATTGTTTCCAGCACTAAACTTAGTCTGCCAAATTAAATTGTCTCTCTCATTTAGATGAGGCATGTGGCTGTCCTTGGCGTTCCTGCTGCTGTTTCACCCTCTGCCCCTGGAGTGCGGAGTCTTCTCCACATCAGCAACTCTTCTGGAGCTCTCCCTGTTGTTGAGTGAGGTCTGGTCCTATAATCCAGCAGGAACCTGTACAGTTTGGTATCAAGTGATGCTGTAGGCTGCTTCTTTAAGCCTGCTTTCAATGTTTGGACCGCTCTTTCTGCCAGACCATTGGACCATTGCATCAATGGTTTTGGAGCTGTTCTTATGTGCCAAATACCATTTGACTTCAGGAAATACTCAAATTCCTTGCTGGTAAATGACGTCCCATTGCCAGTGACCAATACTTCTGGGAGTCAATGTATCGCGAACGATGCTCACAGCTTCTCAATTGTCATTCGTGAGATTGCTGAATGGATGCACATCCAATCACTTTGAATGGGCGTGTTCAATGACTAGGAACACTGAGCTCATGAAAGGACCGGCACAGTCGACATGTAACCGAGTCCAAGGTTTACCCGGCCATTTCCATGAATGTGTGGCCATCGCTGGTGGCAATTTTTGTCCTTGTTGGCACTCCGGGCACTGCTCCACCAATGCAGCTTTGTTGGCATCCAACCCTCTTCATCTTGGAAACCCCTGGATGATTCTGGTGGAGTTTAGCTAGTATCTGGTGGCAACCTTTACTCGGGACAAACACTCTTGCTCCCTAAAGTAATATATGTTGTCCTCTACAGTGATCTGATCTCGACAGGTCCAGAAAAGTTTCAGCCCTGGTTGCGATGGCCCTACTGTCTCCTCCATTATCATTAGCTGTTTCGGTTTTGTTAGGACAGGATCTTTTTGTGTCTATAGTCAGTTATTGTCTGAACTGACCCTCTATCTCCCCCCACTTATTGCACAACAGGCAAAACTCTGGCAGTTCAGTGAACACCATGCTTCCGTTGCTGTTCTTTCTCGTATCTTTTCTGACAAGCTACAAATGATCAGCATGCCTCTCCTGTATAAATCATTGACTAAGACAGTCTATTCCAACAAGCGCACACCGAATGTGCTGCAGAAATTCAGCAGATATGGCAGCTTCTGTGAAGAGAGAAATAGAGTTAACATCACAGGTTATCCAGCAAGCTTAAAACCAGAAATGGACTTTTCCAGGGTAGGCACCAACGGTGGAGTATCTGCCTGTGGGAGGTGGCTCAGCGCATTCGAATTTAGCCATTTGGCTTCCTGGACAGTGTTCTTGTACTTGTACATGTTGAGAATAAGAGCCCACCACTAAATTCTACTGGAAGCTATGGGTGGCACTGTCTTGTCTTCCTTCAGTAGCCCGAGCAGGGATTTGCAATCTGTTACTATGATAAATTCCCATCCGTTAAAGGTACTGGTGACTTCTTCACACCAAAATAACCGCCAAACCTTCCTTCTCTATCTGGGCATATTTGCGTGCGGCATCAGCCAAAGTCTGGGAAGCATACACTATTGGGCGTTCCTCTCTGTTGGGCCACCAGTGAGCCAACACTACCCCGATACAGTACAGGGAGGCATCACATGTCAGCACTACCTCTCGTTTTGGATCGCAGTGGGCCAACACCTTAGAAAATGATAGCTGCTTTTTCACTTCTCTAAAGGTTACTTCTTGACTACACGACCATTTCCAAGGCTGACCCTTTTCCAATACAGGTGTAAGGGTGCCAAGATAGAGGCCAGTTTACTCAGGAATTTTCTGTAATAATTTACTTACCCAAGGAAAGACCTAAGCTCCTGTACGTGGGAGCCAGGGCTCCCTTGATCACCTTCACTTTCTCTTCCATAAGGTGTATCCTGGTTTTGTCGAATCTGTAACCCAAGTAGATCACTTGGGACACCTGGAACACACATTTTCTGCCTGGGAGAAACTTTTAAGCGCTATGTCCAAGTTCTCCAAGTGCTAAATAAAAACCGAAAGAACTGCAGATGCTGTAAATCAAGAACAAAAACAAAGTTGCTGGAGAAGCTCAGCAGGTCTGGCAGCATCTGTGAAGGAAAAAAAGAGTTAACTGTTCTGAGGAAGGGTCACCGGACCCTAAATGTTAACTCTGTTTTTTTTTCCTTCACAGATGCTGTCAGACCTGCTGAGCTTCTCCAGCAACTTTGTTTT